TACAAACACCCTCAACTCTATTTAGAAAATCATCTTTTTGAATTATGTTTCAGAACCGGTCCTTTTCAGCAACTTGTTTACTCCAGGACATTCATGTTGCATCATTAGACACTAGCTACTCTGCAGGTCTGGATTTGAAACACAGAAGATAAACCCATCAATAAATCATTATGTATTATACAGGTTAAGCTACCCAGCAGTACAGCAAGACATTTAAATAACCCCTACCTTTATGAATTGATCATTATAATACAGAAATGTAATCTGATATGGGCCATACTGGAAAATTAGTACTTAAAGTAGCCACTACTTCTACTTGTGAGTATGTTTACAATGTAGTATTGCTACTTCTACTTAAGTAAAAAAGTACTTCAGACACCTCAGTGATAAAACATGTGCAAGTAAACCATACTAAATAATAAAACAGCGATTTCTTGCCATATCAAATATAAAAATGCACTACAACCAAACTCCACTCAGAAAACCCTGTATTTAACGTTGTCTTCAATGACGTCACCATGTCATGACCAGCTGACCTCTTCATAACGTGTTACTTATCAGATTATATGTAAATAATGTATTCAGGATGTTAACAGTTCATCTAACTAACTTATATAACTTCACACAGCAGTAATAACGAGGCCGGTTTACTCACCGTACACTTCTAACGCTTTCTCCTCCATCTTTGTAGTCTTTAGGGCTTTCCTGTCGTCGCTGAGTCCAGAGAAATGCAGCAGTTTGGAGGCGGTTAGCGACACAAGATGCAACAATGGTTCCATAGTTTATGAGAAGCCATGATAAAGAGAGACTAACAGGAGACAGGCGGGATGATAGTGGAGGGCTCTGTCCTTCTGCTGGTTTAATGGTGGACTACAAACCAGCTAAAGGTGCATGACCGCCCCCTGCTGTACTGGAGGGTGGACCAGAGGTCATGGGGAAAACAATGATCACGAGAAAAAAAAAAATTCTCTCTCTATATATAAATAAATAAAAACCACATGAACAAAAAATGGCTTAATATTTATCCACCTCCATGTAATGGAGGAGGATACATAATAATATAATGCGAAGTCACGCCCATCTACTTCCGGTCCATGGGACCTTATTTCGGAATACATGAATTACACATATTATGTTTGTCAATCTTAAATAATAATTTCCAAGTCAAAAAAGTCAGTTTGTCGTAAAACTGTTGAAATATAAGACTATGAAAAATACGCAACTAGAAAGACTACAAAACCCAGAGTCCCGGTCCCGCATGCTGGATATTACGGAACCGACTAACTCCCCTTGGAGTGATTTTCACCTCTTTTAATACTTTCCGCCTCATTCTGAAAGAAAGAAGTGAAATGTTTCAACGTGACGGCCGTCTTGGTGTGTGGTGCGAGATGGGAGATGTAGTTCATTGAGCGGTTTCACACAAAGAAAGTGTTACTTCACAGTTTTACGACACATTTAAAAAAAATTGACTTGCAAAATTATCTTTTAAATTGACAAACATCATATGTGTAATTCGTGGCACATTTCAAACGGGATCAAAAGATAATCCTTTCTCTCTCCATTGACTTCAATGCATACTTTTCCCGAAATGAGGTCCCATGGAGGTCCCCGGAAAGGGAGGGACTTCGCCTCTCTATACAATACAATTGTACAATTGGGCGGTGGTGGCGAAGTCGATAGGGAGTTGGCTTGGCAATTGGAAGGTCACCAGTTCAAGTCCCGGCAAGACCAAGTGCTACCGAGGTGTCCCTGAGCAAGGCACCGTGCGTTCCCTACACAGCTCCCCGAGCGCCGTTCAAAAATGGCAGCCCACTGCTCCTAACACAGGATGGGTCAAATGCAGAGAAACAATTTCCCCACGAGGATTAATAAAGTATATAAAAATTTTAAAAAAAATCAAATTATAAAAACGAAGGAACGAAGGATCCAGTCAGCTGACCTGGGAAGATCATGTGACCCAGCTGCTGTTTTGACAGGAGGAACTGCCACACTGTGGGTGTTTCTCAATGTCGAGGACGCTTGCTTAGCACATGTCTTCCGAGTCAGTTGCTTCAGAAGCGAGGCAAGAATCCTTCCTAGCCTCGGAAAACGAAGAATTGTGGAACAGGCTAACAGGTGTGCAGGTGTGCGTCATATGCGAGGCCCCGCCTTAAATGGAGCTCGATTTCCGCCAAAGATTTGGAAATTGGTCCGTGTGCAAAGCATTGTGGGGATTTTAAGACCACGGAGTCTACACATGTGCAGCCTCGAAATTTCTCGCTACGAAGTACGCCGGCCTCGGTAGAATTCCAAGTATGCTGGACATTGGTCGACGGGACTCGATGACGTAGTATGCTTGAAATAGTAGGCTCGTTTGAGATGAGTGAGACCGACGCAGACCTGCGCAATTGCGACCGCCGTCTTGCTCGTGCGTTGCATGATGGTTAGTCATTTTGTCCGACTTGCTCTGGAGGCTCGCCTACATGAGACGTTGAAATCTCACAGCCTTGAGAGCGAGGCGCGGCGAGGCGGCGCAGTTCCTCTCCACGGGCTGCGGAAGCGAAATGCTTGATGGGAAACGACTCGCTAGTATCTCGAGCTGAGCGCTCATTGGTGGTTTTTACCACGTGCTGCTGATGAAGCTCTCCCATTGGCTCAGCTAAAGTTTGTTGTTGTTTTGTGTCAGTTTTACGTCGCCACATCCATTCCCATTTTTCATCATTGTTCCACAATGTTTATCATCATTAAATTAATATCCATATATTTGATACTATACTTGCTCTGCTTACCGTTTCATACTTTATATATCTTAGCATATTCATACACACTGTTCATACTGCTCTCAGGCTGCTGTGTGTATCTAGTGTATTAATACACACTGTTCATACTGCTCACAGGCTGCTGTGTATATATAGTGTATTAATACACACTGTTCATACTGCTCTCATGCTGCTGTGTGTATCTAGTGTATTAATACACACTGTTCATACTGCTCTCAGGCTGCTGTGTGTATCTAGTGTATTAATACACACTGTTCATACAGCTCTCAGGCTGCTGTGTGTATCTAGTGTATTAATACACACTGTTCATACTGCTCTCATGCTGCTGTGTGTATCTAGTGTATTAATACACACTGTTCATACTGCTCTCAGGCTGCTGTGTGTATCTAGTGTATTAATACACACTGTTCATACTGCTCTCAGGCTGCTGTGTGTATCTAGTGTATTAATACACACTGTTCATACTGCTCTCAGGCTGCAGTATGAACAGTGTGTATTAATACACACTGTTCATACTGCTCACAGGCTGATATCTAGTGTATTAATACCCCTCACTGTTTATTCATCATTAAATTCATTCTATATGTTATTCTGTAGATTGTGTACATTACTTTTCACTTTACTGCTTGTTGCACCTGGTTAGAAGCTAAACTGCATTTCGTTGTCTCAGTACCTGTAATATGTGCAATAACAATAAAGTTGAATCTAATCTGGAGCAGGAACAAATGTATTTACTTAGTACATATCTGACATTAACGATTAAACACATGTGTGCATTCTTTATAAATGCAAACCGAGTCAAGCCGACTCCGAGAGGAGAGACACCTCTGGAGATCAGAAGAGAGAACCTTGCTCCGTCATACTGGGTCAGGCTACAAGGAAGTGGAGAGGAACATATCACTAACAGAAAACTACAGGATTGCTGGGAATATGCAAAGTTCCAGGGGCGTGGGTTAGGCTGGACGAGTAAGGAGAGAACGAGGGCATGTGGAGTGGAGACCATCACGTTTGCCAAAGCAAGCCCATTAGCCGTGTTCCTCCATGGCTTTCCCAGAAGCTAACATAGATGTGAGTAGGCCTATCATGGAAAGGAAAATGAAGTGGGAATTAAAACGAGTATCTGAACGAAAAGTATTTCAATTAGCTACACATGTACACAGATGGATCTAAGAAGCAAGAATGCGTGGAGATAGGCATGTATCCAGAATTCAAAATATCAATCTCAAAACGAGTGTCACATAATAACTTATCAGTTTATACAGCATAAATACTTGCAGCAATTATTGGGCTACGATGGGTTGAAGAGGTCAGACCTGATAGGGTGGTGATATGCACAGACTCACTATTTGCTTTGGAAAGCATACAGTCAACAATAACACAGAAAGGAACAGACCAGATCATCATCACTAGACTCAGACTGGATCATACAGGATTAAACGGCACAATGTTTATGATGGGAAAAAGCGAAGTTGAAGAATGCAGGGGGTGTGGAGTGAAAGAAAATGTGGAACACATCATATTACACTGTAACATGTACAAAACAGAGAGGGAACAACTAAGAGACAGGGTCAGAGAGGCAGGAAGGGAGTGGAGCCTGATGGGGACACTGGGAACAGAAGGTGAGGGGGTAAGAGAGGCAGGAAGGGAGTGGAGCCTGATGGGGACACTGGGAACAGAAGGTGAGGGGGTAAGAGAGGCAGGAAGGGAGTGGAGCCTGATGGGGACTGGGAACAGAAGGTGAGGGGGTAAGAGAGGCAGGAAGGGAGTGGAGCCTGATGGGGACACTGGGAACAGAAGGTGAGGGGGTAAGAGAGGCAGGAAGGGAGTGGAGCCTGATGGGGACACTGGGAACAGAAGGTGAGGGGGTAAGAGAGGCAGGAAGGGAGTGGAGACTGATGGGGACACTGGGAACAGAAGGTGAGGGGGTAAGAGAGGCAGGAAGGGAGTGGAGCCTGATGGGGACTGGGAACAGAAGGTGAGGGGGTAAGAGAGGCAGGAAGGCCATTCTTAAGTAATTGAGTGGAACAGGATTGATTGGAAGAATTGAAAACAACGTAAATACAATGGTATAATTCCACAAGTGGTGATAGGATGATATTGTGATACACACTCTTGTACAGTAGGTGGCGATATGCACCTTAAAGCTGTTTGCAATCCGCCAAAAACCTAGAGAGAAGAAGAAGAAGCCGACTCCGAGCTGTCCGACTTCAGGCGAGCTTTTTGAGACCTCCCTCGGCTGAAATCGGCTATTCTCGTCTACTTTCGAGGCGAGCCGCAGCTCATCTCAAACAAGCCCATCGTCTCTCGATTTAGCAGCCTTGTTTTTTTCTAACCTGTTCCTATTGGTCGGATCCAGTCAGCTGACCTGGGCACATATCATGTGACCCAGCTGCTGTTTTGACAGGAGGAACTGCCACATTGTTTCTTCTTGTGCTTTAATCTCAGTTTGAGGCTCCTTCCTTCCTGATTGTCCCACAGATGTCTCCCTAACATCGGTGTGGTTCTGAGGATGATGATGATGATGATGGAGGAGAGCGGCTCCACGGAGGTGTGTGTGATCCCGGAGAACCCTCACTGTGTCCGGGTGTCGGAGCTCCGGAGGGCGGACCTGGCTCCCGGAGGGTCGCTGCTCCTCGGCTGTCTGAGGGACCGGGGCCTCCTGGAGGTCCTGGACCCGGCCGACAGAGAGGCTCCCCCGGCAGAGGCCAGCGGGAGATACACGGAGTGAGTCCTGGTTCAGAAATACACACTGTGTTGTTATTGTGACGAAAAAAAAGTTATCTATTTCAGAATAAATCAGAATATCTTTATTCGTCCCACAGAGAAAAAAAGTCATTAGAAGCGTTAGAGAGCAATGTGATCTTTAATATTTTTGAATACTGTTAAGACTTAATGGACGTTTTCACTTCAAGAGTCACCACAGTATATGGAATGCTTTCCCTAGATATGTTTTAGTCTATTTGTGCCACTGAATTTGTCAATGTGACATTTCAGTGAACACAACCCTGTGGACAACTTCCACAGGCAAGCTCTTAAGCTCTGGTATTAGTATATAACACCAATTCAATCCTTAATGATACGTCGTCTGGAATAATGATATTTTATACACAAACAAATCACCATTTTGTCACAAAAAAAACCAACATGTATACTGGGGACACTGGGGACACTGGGGACACTGGGGACACTGGGGACACTGGGGACACTGGGGACACTGTGGACACTGTGGACACTGGGGACACTGTGGACACTGTGGACACTGGGGACACTGGGGACACTGGGGACTCTGGGGACTCTGGTGACTCTGGGGACACTGGGGACTCTGGGGACTCTGGGGACTCTGGGGACATGACATGTCTCCAGTACTTTGCATCAGGATAACTTGTTATAAATGTTCTGAATAACAACTTTTTCTCCTAGTTTCTGCTGGGAGGAGGAGGGGGGGGGTCGGCTGCTGGCTGTCAGCTCTCAGTTTGATCTGAAGCTTCTGGAAGCAGAAAGACCCTCAAAGATCTCCATCAGATCTGAAGTTCCTGCTGAGCGCCTGCTGAAGACCCTCAGAGAGCAAGACCCCGGTGAGTACTCACATCTGTACTTCAGGAGAAGTACTCACATCTGTGCTTCAGGAGAAGTACTCACATCTGTACTTCAGGAGAAGTACTCACATCTATGCTTCAGGAGAAGTACTCACATCTGTACTTTAAGAGAAGTACTCACATCTGTACTTTAAGAGAAGTACTCACATCTGTGCTTCAGGAGAAGTACTCAGATCTTGTTCTTGAGTAAAAGTAGAAGTACTCACATCTGTACTTTAGTAAAAGTAGAAGTACTCACAAGTACCAGAGTGTAGGAATACTCTGTTACACTAAAAGTCCTGCATTCATCATGTCTCTCCTTAATGTATGAATATAATAATGTGTGTTTCCAGGTGTGTGTGAGCTGCAGTCTCTCCAGGTGTTGCGTTTCTCAGCTGGCCGCGGCTGCCTGCTGCTCAACTCTGATTGGCTGCTGCAGCTGCAGTGGCTGCAGACGGACGAGCAGCCGCAGACCATCTCCTGCTGCAGAATACACACACACTCTGCTGACAGACACACACACTCTGCTGACAGCAACACACACTCTGCTGACAAAGACACACACTCTCCTGACAAAGACACACACTCTGCTGACAGCAACACACACTCTCCTGACAGCAACACACACTCTCCTGACAAAGACACACACTCTGCTGACAGACACACACACTCTGCTGACAGCAACACACACTCTGCTGACAAAGACACACACTCTCCTGACAAAGACACACACTCTCCTGACAAAGACACACACTCTCCTGACAAAGACACACACTCTGCTGACAGACACACACACTCTCCTGACAGCAACACACACTCTCCTGACAAAGACACACACTCTCCTGACAAAGACACACACTCTGCTGACAGCAACACACACTCTCCTGACAACAACACACACTCTCCTGACAAAGACACACACCCACACTCTCCTGACAGCCACACACACTCTCCTGATGGCCACACACACTCTCCTGATGGCCACATACACTCTTCTGAAGGACACACACACTCTTCTGTGCACCGCTGTGTGTGTGTGGCCAGAGAGACTCTGTTCAGCCTCAGCTCCTCCGGACTCATCTGTATCCTCTCAGGACATCAAATCATCTTTTAAAGTATTGAATTAGGTAAAACCACGTTGAGTAGTTGGGTAACTACCGTATTGACCCGAATATAAGACAGGGGTTTCTTCTGAAAAAGAGGGTCGTCTTATTCTGGGTCTAGACTTGTTGATGTAATTACACAGTCACAACAACAGGTGGCGCCAAACGAGTCTTAAAGTACGGAAACAGTTCACAGCAACAGGAGAGAGAGAGACACGGATACCAACTCCAACAAACTGGATCAAGAGTAGGCGAGTTAATAAACAAGAGAGGCGAAGTTACGACACCAATTTTAAGATAATGGTGATCAACAAAGTCATCCAGCAACTGGTGTTTCTAGAGACGTTAGAAGATGGTGTTTCTGAGAGACGTTAGTAGATGGTGTTTCTGAGAGACGTTAGTAGATGGTGTTTCTGAGAGACGTTAGTAGATGGTGTTTCTAGAGACGTTAGTAGATGGTGTTTCTGAGAGACGTTAGTAGATGGTGTTTCTGAGAGACGTTAGTAGATGGTGTTTCTGAGAGACGTTAGTAGATGGTGTTTCTGAGAGACGTTAGTAGATGGTGTTTCTGAGTGACGTTAGTAGATGGTGTTTCTAGAGACGTTAGTAGATGGTGTTTCTGAGGACGTTAGTAGATGGTGTTTCTGAGTGACGTTAGTAGATGGTGTTTCTGAGAGACGTTAGTAGATGGTGTTTCTGAGTGACGTTAGTAGATGGTGTTTCTAGAGACGTTAGTAGATGGTGTTTCTAGAGACGTTAGTAGATGGTGTTTCTGAGTGACGTTAGTAGATGGTGTTTCTAGAGACGTTAGTAGATGGTGTTTTCTGAGAGACTGTAGTAGATGGTGTTTCTGAGTGACGTTAGTAGATGGTGTTTCTAGAGACGTTAGTAGATGGTGTTTCTGAGAGACGTTAGTAGATGGTGTTTCTGAGTGACGTTAGTAGATGGTGTTTCTAGAGACGTTAGTAGATGGTGTTTCTGAGAGACGTTAGTAGATGGTGTTTCTGAGAGACGTTAGTAGATGGTGTTTCTAGAGACGTTAGTAGATGGTGTTTCTGAGAGACGTTAGTAGATGGTGTTTCTGAGAGACGTTAGTAGAGGGTGTTTCTAGAGACGGTAGTAGATGGGTGTTTCTGAGAGACCGTTAGTAGATGGTGTTTCTAGAGACGTTAGTAGATGGTGTTTCTAGAGACGTTAGTAGATGGTGTTTCTAGAGACGTTAGTAGATGTGTGTTTCTAGAGACGTTAGTAGATGGTGTTTCTAGAGACGTTAGTAGATGGTGTTTCTGAGAGACGTTAGTAGATGGTGTTTCTAGAGACGTTAGTAGATGGTGTTTCTAGAGACGTTAGTAGATGGTGTTTCTGAGAGACGTTAGTAGATGGTGTTTCTAGAGACGTTAGTAGATGGTGTTTCTGAGAGACGTTAGTAGATGGTGTTTCTGAGAGACGTTAGTAGATGGTGTTTCTAGAGACGTTAGTAGATGGTGTTTCTGAGAGACGTTAGTAGATGGTGTTTCTGAGAGACGTTAGTAGAGGTAGTTTTCTGAGAGACGTTAGTCAGAATGGTGGTTTCTAGAGTGACGTTAAGTAAGAATGGTGTTTCTAGGAGACGTTAGTAAGATGGGTTGTTTCTGAGAGACTGTTAGTAATGGTGTTTCATAGAGACGTTAGTAAGATTGGGTTGTTTCTGAGAGACGTTAGTAGATGGTTGTTTCTGAGGAAGACGTTAGTAGATGGTGTTTCTAGAAGAGCGTTAGTAGATGGTGTTTCTGAGAGAACGTTAGTAGATGTGTTTCTGAGAGGACGTTAGTAGATGGTGTTTCAGAGACGTTAGTAAGATGGGTGTTTCCTGAGAGACGTTAGTAGATGGTGTTTCTGAGACGTTAGTAGATGGTGTGTTTCTGAGAGACGTTAGTAGATTGGTGTTTCTGAGAGACGTTAGTAGATGGTGTTTTCTAGAGACGTGTAGTAGATGGTGTTTCTGAGAGACGTTAGTAGATGGTGTTTCTGAGAGACGTTAGTAGATGGTGTCCTTCTGAGAGAACGTAGTAGATGGTGTTTCCTATGAGACGGTAGTAGATGGTGTTTCTAGAAGACGTTAGTAGATTGGTGTTTCTGAGATGACGTTAGTAGATGGTGTTTCCTGAGAGACGTTAGTAGATTGGTGGTTTCTAGAGTGACGTTAGTAGATGGTGTTTCTAGAGACGTAGTAGATGGTTGTTTCTAGAGACGTTAGTAAGATGGTGTTTCTGAGAGACGTTAGTAGATGGTGTTGTTTCTAGAGGACGTAGTAGATTGTGTTTATAAGAGACGTTAGTAGATGGTGTTTCTGAGGTGACGTTAAGTAGATGGTGTTTTCAGAGACGTTAGTAGATGGTGTTGTTTCTGAGAGACGTTAGTAGATGGTGTGTTTTCTGGAGAGACGTTAGTAGATGGTGTTTCTAGAGACGTAGAGATGGGTGTTTCTAGAGACGTTAGTAGATGGTGTTTCTGAGTGACGTTAGTAGATGGTGTTTCTAGAGACGTTAGTAGATGGTGTTTCTGAGAGACGTTAGTAGATGGTGTTTCTGAGAGACGTTAGTAGATGGTGTTTCTGAGAGACGTTAGTAGATGGTGTTTCTGAGAGACGTTAGAAGATGGTGTTTCTGAGAGACGTTAGTAGATGGTGTTTCTGAGAGACGTTAGTAAATGGTGTTTCTAGAGACGTTAGTAGATGGTGTTTCTGAGAGACGTTAGTAGATGGTGTTTCTGAGAGACGTTAGTAGATGGTGTTTCTGAGAGACGTTAGTAGATGGTGTTTCTGAGAGACGTTAGTAGATGGTGTTTCTGAGAGACGTTAGTAGATGGTGTTTCTGAGAGACGTTAGTAGATGGTGTTTCTAGAGACGTTAGTAGATGGTGTTTCTAGAGACGTTAGTAGATGGTGTTTCTAGAGACGTTAGTAGATGGTGTTTCTAGAGACGTTAGTAGATGGTGTTTCTAGAGACGTTAGTAGATGGTGTTTCTGAGAGACGTTAGTAGATGGTGTTTCTGAGAGACGTTAGTAGATGGTGTTTCTGAGAGATGTTAGTAGATGGTGTTTCTGAGAGACGTTAGTAGATGGTGTTTCTAGAGACGTTAGTAGATGGTGTTTCTAGAGACGTTAGTAGATGGTGTTTCTAGAGACGTTAGTAGATGGTGTTTCTGAGAGACGTTAGTAGATGGTGTTTCTAGAGACGTTAGTAGATGGTGTTTCTAGAGACGTTAGTAGATGGTGTTTCTAGAGACGTTAGTAGATGGTGTTTCTAGAGACGTTAGTAGATGGTGTTTCTAGAGACGTTAGTAGATGGTGTTTCTGAGAGACGTTAGTAGATGGTGTTTCTGAGAGACGTTAGTAGATGGTGTTTCTAGAGACGTTAGTAGATGGTGTTTCTGAGAGACGTTAGTAGATGGTGTTTCTAGAGACGTTAGTAGATGGTGTTTCTGAGTGACGTTAGTAGATGGTGTTTCTGAGAGACGTTAGTAGATGGTGTTTCTAGAGACGTTAGTAGATGGTGTTTCTAGAGACGTTAGTAGATGGTGTTTCTGAGAGACGTTAGTAGATGTTGTTTCTGAGAGACGTTAGTAGATGGTGTTTCTAGAGACGTTACTAGATGGTGTTTCTAGAGACGTTAGTAGATGGTGTTTCTAGAGACGTTAGTAGATGGTGTTTCTGAGAGACGTTAGTAGATGGTGTTTCTGAGAGACGTTAGTAGATGGTGTTTCTGAGAGACGTTAGAAGATGGCGAGCCCAAAAAGACCACCTTAAAAATATAAACAGTCAGAGAAAAGCATTCCGCAAAGGGGCCGTGAAAAAATTAGTCTTGAGAAAGAGGGGTCAATGCGGTAACTCTATTAATTAACTATCTCATTAAATAACACAATTACTAGCTAACTCCCTCAGTGGACAGATCTGATCTCACCTGATGACCCCAGCTGTAAGATCGGTGTGTTCTTTAACCTCTGACCCCAGCTGTGTGTAGCCTCAGTGTGTTCTTTAACCTCTGACCCCAGCTGTAAGATCAGTGCGTTCTTTAACCTCTGACCCCAGCTGTAAGATCAGTGTGTTCTTTAACCTCTGACCCCAGCTGTAAGATTAGTGTGTTCTTTAACCTCTGACCCCAGCTGTGTGTAGCCTCAGTGATGGCCGCCTGCTTGCCTCCATCGACCTCCCTCTCTACCTGTCAGCTGCTCAACCAGAAGACGAGCTGCTCTCCTCCTCTTCCTCCTCCTGCGTCTCTTCCTCTTCCTCCTTCTGCCTCCTGCAGCTGTCGGCTGATCTGAGCACAGCTGTAGCCGTCACTGAGACTCACAGCGCCGCCGCCGTGCCCCTGGACCACTACTTCAGGTAACACGGGAGAAATGGGAAGTATTTTATGAGTTTAAGAGATAAGATCCCCGATGTGTCCCGGTGTGTCCCCGGTGTGTCCCCGGTGTGTCCCCGGTGTGTCCCCGGTGTGTCAGGAGACTCTCAAAGTGTCAGGAAACAAACCCCTCTCTCTTCTCCTCCCTACCCACATCTCTAAAAACGGGGAACAACGGAGCTGATCCAGATTTGCTGTGTCATTACCACATTACTGAAATGTGGGCGGGCTTTACCCCGACGGGCCAATCAGAAATGTTGCTGTCGGAAACAATGAGACGTGTTCTGGAAGTGATATGGTCTGTGTTTCCATTAGCATGCTAACACTCAGAGCTAACCTGTGCTGGAGAGAGTCTGTGTGAAGAAGCTGCTTCAGGTAACCCCGCAGCGGGAGACACGGGAAATATTGAATGAGTTTTTGCCAGACATGGAGTCAGGCCCGTCTTCCACCAAACCAGTTCCAGTTCTAGCTCCGCGCTTAGTTTTTCTATTTGAGTTCCTATGTAACACTTGCACTTCTATTGGATAACGCTCCAACACATTGTACGTGATAGGCTAAGGGGCGACACATCTCTTATACATATCCCCATCCCCATAAGTGGATGTGTTTCAGTCTGAATTGACGCTGTGTGGCATCACAACGCTGCTATGAACGTTTCTCTGGTATACAACGGGTGATCACTGAACCAAACCTCTGTGTTGCAGTCTGTTCCCGGACCACCTGCTGTGTGCCACCCCCCCCCTCCCGACCCCCCCTGAGGCCCCTGATGCAGGTGGACCAGGACTCCCTGTGGAGCTCCAGCTGCAGCCTCTCTTCCCTCGGATCCACCTTCAACACCGACCGGTAAACACACACACACACACACACACACACACACACTTTCCTCCACACACACACACACACACACTTTCCTCCACATACACACACACACACACACACACACACACACACACATACACACACACACACACACACTTTCCTCCACACACACACACACAAGACCCCCGAGATCATAACAGCACAGGATCTATTTTCAGGCATGATTCGAGACTCAGAATCAGATGTCCTTTAGAGGTCCAACATCAGGGACACAGCGTAACAGCGGCAAAGGGACAGCTGAGGAGACAAAATATAGTATAAGTAAACGTTAAAAGGGCCTTCTCCTGCTTCTCCTGCTTCTCCTGCTTCTCCTGCTTCTCCTGCTTCTCCTGCTTCTCCTGCTTCTCCTGAAGTGTGTTCTAGGTTTTGTGTAAAAGGTCTGCAAACGGCCTGAAACGCATCCATTGGACTCCTTTTGTTTACTTTCGGAACATAGCGACATCACTACAGAACACTCACGCTCCTATTGGCTAGTTCTCCAACACATTGTACGTGATAGGCTAAGGGGCGGGACATCTCTAAGCCGTTGACCAATCACACAACAGAGCCGGCCAGCTAACCAATCAGAGCAGACAATAAAACATATCTAAACCGTTGCCTTTTTATATCAAAGTAACTGAAAGTATTTTGGGTTAAGGATTGTTTTCTGGAACATTTTTGAAGATGTCGAATAGGGTTTGGATATTGTTGGGGCTTTTTAAACTTCATTACTGGACATCTTGTAGACTTAATTATTCAAGAAGAATAATATGTGTATATTTAACAAACATAATGTTCAATTTGCTATTTCAGGATAACACACATGGGTGATTGATTTCTTTTAATTCACCTTTAATCCTCTCTATCGTCTCCCTTTTAGCTCCTGGGAAGCTCGTCTGTCTTCCATGTACAGCAGGGCCCAGCCTCCTCCCTCCTCCTCTCCCTCGTCCTCTTCCTCCCCCTGGTCCTCCTCCCTCCCCCACCTGTACTCCCAGTCCTCCTCCTCCCACAGCAGGGTGCCTCTCGGCGGGGCGACCGTCTCCTTCTCCGTCCCAGAATCCTCGGCTCCGTCACTGCTCACCGTCACCGAGTTCTCCGCCCAGCTGACCTTCGTCTCCCCCGGCAACACGGAGACCACAGTTGCATTGTGGGAAATGGAGTCCGGGAACGTGACGCAACACCGAGCGGAGGGGGAGGCGGCTCCGGTGCAGCGATGTGGAGAGAGGCAGCACCGCCTGCTGCTGAAGGGTGAGTCAGCAACCACAGTATATATGGCGCAGTAACTCTGAACATGACTCAACAACTTGATTTAAACATGACTCGGCAACATTTGTACAGCGCCTTTCAAGGGACCCAAGGCCACTTTACATGGTGAATGAACAAACAAACAAACAAACAAACAAAAGGAGAAATAATAAGGTAAACAAAAATAACTATATATAAAAACAGGACTCAGCAACCTCTCTTCTCCCCCCAGACTCTGGTGTGTTTCAGGTCTTGTTCTCGGTGTCTCAGGAGGACTTGCTCAGCAGGCTGATGTTGTTCGGCAGCGCAGCCACGGTGGACGCAGTTTGTCACCTGAACAGCTGGGGGCGCTGTTCCATCCCCATCCACTCCCTGCAGGTGGGGAGACGCAACAAACACAAGAGAGGAAACTCTCTTAATGTTATAAACTATAAGATGCAGTTTGTTTTAAAGCTGTGTTGTTGTTGTTGTTCTGCAGGCGGGCCTGAAGAACCGTCAGCTGGACACGGTGGATTTCTACCTGAAGAGCAAAGAGAACATCCTGAACCCCGAGAACGATCAACCCCCCCAACAGAGCCTTACACACAGTACGCACACACACCTCACACACTCATAAAGGAACTACAGCACGGTCACATGACTTCACGTCACCACCGCTAAGCTAAAGGTGGCTAATGTTGGGCTATAAAGGAACTACAGCTCGGTCACATGACTTCAAATCACCACCGCTAAGCTAAAGGTGGCTAATGTTGGGCTATAAAGGAACTACAGCACGGTCACATGACTTCACGTCACCACCGCTAAGCTAAAGGTGGCTAATTTTGGGCTATAAAGGAACTACAGCTCGGTCACATGACTTCACGTCACCACCGCTAAGCTAAAGGTGGCTAATGTTGGGCTATAAAGGAACTACAGCACGGTCACATGACTTCACGTCACCACCGCTAAGCTAAAGGAGGCTAATGTTGGGCTATAAAGGAACTACAGCACGGTCACATGACTTCACGTCACCACCGCTAAGCTAAAGGAGGCTAATGTTGGGCGTTGGTGACGTTTAGTCGTCTCATTTAGACTCTTGTTAGCAACCTCTGTTTTTAAATCTACCAGTGGGGGATTTACTGACGTATTTTATGTCGTAGAACAAAACGTTAAAATCTCTTCAGCTTGTGTTAACCACAGACCTTATTTCTGGATAACCACAAACACATTCAGAAAACCATTGAGTTCCAGACCAGGGGACATAAATAGGTAAAGTGCTGACTAATTTATTGGCGTGTGTGTGTGTGTGTGTGCGTGTGTGTGCAGGTTTCCAGGAGCTGTGCTCGGCGTTGGATCTGCTCTGCTCGGCGGTCAGAGAGTCGAACAGCGAGGCTCAGAGTCGCCAGTTTTCCGAGCAGCTGCTGAACATCACACTGAGCTTCATCAACAGACAGATCCGCTCAGTGCTGACCAACACACAGCGTGAGACACACACACACACACACACACACACACACACACACACACACACACACACACACACACACACACACACACACACACACACACACACACACACACACACACACACACACGGAATCCCTTTATACTTATGGAAAGATTTGAAGTAGTTAGGCTAGTGTTGCGTTTCTATAATTTGAGGTAGGAGTAGCTGAAAATAATCCAGGAAGCTTCTCGTCAAGTTAACAGCGTTTATTAATAAGATGATACGATCTGCAAAAGCACTCAGCCGAGGTCTTCTCCTATTCCACTGATCCAGCCCACACACTGTAGTTATCTGTCCCTCAGATTCCCAGGAAGAAGCCTCGATCTCTTGTTTACATCACATTTGATCATGTCTGTACAAGTCTAAAGTCTTCTCCCATTGGTTGCCGGGGAGGGGCCAGGTTCTATTGGCCCCTTTGGCCACGCCTCTTAGCGCTTGCTGCTCCATTCAGATCTTCTGTCGCCCTCTAGTGGCGTAACCAAATAACATTCTTTCATAACATGTTATATGGCCAGACAAATGACCCAATAAAACACATAGTAACAGTTGATGTATTGATTATTCTCACATTAGAAGCAAAGTAAAATGGACAGGAATTGAAGAGCTGTTGTTCTGTGTCTGCAGACGAGGATCTGAGCGTGCAGGTGGAGGTTCTGGATCGCTACGTCACGGAGCTCAGGAGCTACATGAAGAGGTTCCCCTGGCCTGTAGGGGGCGACACCTGCAGCACAAACTCTGCTGAGGCTGCCCCCCTGCAGGAGGAAGAGGAGGAGAGGGAGGAAGAGGAGGACGAGTGGGAGAAACTGCAGACGGAGGTGACTGCTCCTCATCAAACACTGACACTTTGTTTTCATGTTTTTATTGAGCGAGAAAATTGTGATATGTGAGCAACGGAGCATTCTGAGATAATCGTGGATTTGTGGATTATTTTGGTGTTTTGGTTGATTCTAAAAAAGTATTTCATAATATACATAATAACACAGCAGTGTGTTTTCATTTGGTCTCAAATAAAAGTGAGTGTTGTTCAGAATATCAAATTCTCTTCGCTTATCTCAATAATAAATAGAGCGCTGAAGCTTGTACAAGTACGATGACAAGTGGCGAATGGAGTACTACATTACGATTGGAGGTGTGTGTGTTTCCTCGTAAAATACATACACTCAAGCACACTTACACACTCACCGACTTTCCCTCATCTGAGTAAAATAAATATCCTCGTCCTCGATGCTACTAGCAACAACAAGAAGCTGCTGATTTCGATAAAGCAGGTCACAATTATCTCTGAAAGTAACCGTGTGTGTGTGTGTGTGTTGCAGGAAGTGGTGCGGCGCTCCATCCTGACCAATCAGATACCTCGGGCTCAGGCGGTGCTGAGGGGGCGGGGCCTGAAGGAGCAGCGTCTGTCTGCTCTGAGGAGGCGGGGCCTACAGGAGGTGTTCACCTGTCTGCAGCACAGAGACCTGCACACTGCCAACACTCTGCTCACTAACATGGTGAGGACTCTGTCAGCCTATCAGATCCCTGCTTTCATGCTACATGTGCAGGCTAAACATGCTTAAAGCAGGCGTGATCAATGCTAACGTAGACATCAGTGTTTCCTTAAACTTTTTCATACCAAGGACCACGCACTTAACCAATAACAAATGTAGCAGTATTTAGCATTTAGTACGACACAAATGTCGGGTGTCAAACACATTTTCTGTGGCCCGACAGAGCTCTGAAAGAATATAATACGTTTATTATACGGTTACATGCTGCTTTACAGAAGCATGTTGCTCATAAACTACATGTCCCACAATGCATCTCATTTTGTGACATTCTCACTGAAGAGACTTGCAATCATTCGCCCTAGACTTCTGCTTTCAGACGTAGTTAATTATGAAGGTATTACCCTATCCGATAATAATACAATGCAGAGGCAATCATGTTATATAATACATTATTTTATATATATTATATATTTATATATGTATTTTTGTATTGTCTTAAAGTTACAACCGGCCCTTTGAGTTCAACCTTAATGCTGATGTGGCCCACGATGAAATTGAGTTTGACCCCCTGATCTAGAGGATACTTTAATACAGTGGAAAGTGAAATCTGAAACTGTCTGATGGTGCGTTCAGGGCTTCAGCGTAAAGCAGCAACTCCGCAGTATCTGCCTCTTCACCGACGACTACGACTTGCGGGACTTCGTGGTGAGTTCAAATACACTTCCTTTATTCAAACCAAATGTCTTATTATGCTCAGTTGATAGATGTTAACGAGAGTTTGAGGCTATTGGCTTTTTAGGATTGGTTAACAGTTAATTACAATGTTTTAGGCCTGTGATTGGCTGACAGATGTTAACGAGGGATTGAGACCTGTGATTGGTTGACAGTTAATTTAAAGAGGTAAGACCTGTGATTGGTTAACAAGATTTTGAGGCCCCTGATTGGTTGACAGATGTTAACGAGGGTTAATGACAATGTTTGAGGCCTTTGATTGATCAACGTTTTTAACGAGGATTTTTTACGGCCTGTGATTGGTTGACAGTTAATAACAATGTTTGAGGCCCTTGATTTATCAAATATGTTAACGAGAGCCTGTGATTGGTTGACAGACCTTAATGAAGCTTTGATGCCTGTGATTGGTTAACCTGTTAAGCCAGAGAGGACCCTAATCCGGGGCCTGCAGGGTGTTTTTTCACGAAACTGTGTCTCAGGGATTCTTAATATTTAAAAACCTATGAATGTGTCATACCCACTTAACGGTTAGAAACTCAGCTATCTGACAATATTAACCATTTTTAGCTAAACGTAACACAAGGGTAATAACAAAGCCTCTGAATTAGCCCCGAGCGAAAACATGCTAACACACTTAGCACAGAACTCAAGGTAAAATACCCTTATTACCTATCGGATCTGCACAAACAAGATATTGATTAGCAAGCTGAGATTCCACAGATTCTATAAGTATAAGTATGATCACTGTAGGATCACAACTCGCGACATGGGAAGCAAAACCAGACATCACAACACCTAGCATTACGGAGGAAACACGGGTCATTGTCTCACCTTAGCTGCTCTTCTGATCAAAAGTCGTGTTCAATGGCATCAAAACGATAAAAACGCTGCTGGAGGTTAATCCAATGTGTCTGAAATGATTTCTGACAATCCATCTTCATATTTATGTCAAAAACTGACTTTTCATATCAAGCTGCAATGAAAGCTACGAGAGTGTATGACAGCTTCCGGGTTTGGGCATTCTGGCTGCGCATCACTCATTCACCAATGGGTAATGTTTAGATGGATTTTAGGAACTTCCCCTCGATCCTATTGGCTCTGACGGTTCAAAAGAGATGTCAATCATCAAAATCGACCGAGGGGTTGCAGAGATATGGAAAATCCACCCAAACGACCCCAGAAGTGGGTTTTTGTTCTAAATCTCTCTAAAAAGGTCAAACTTCACTTGTTTTGCATCAGTCTTGATTCAGGGTCACTATCATTTACATTTACTGTGTTCAATCTGAATTGACTTTAAAATAAAAACATCTATATTGATTCTGACTTTTCTACATCCAACTCACAGGTTTATCATTGCTTTGAGAACAACGATTATTCATTTACCCCTTTTAGAAGTGGAGCCTGAGACCTGAAAAACAGGCTCAGGGCTTAACAGGTTAACAGTTAAAACGATGTTTGAGGCCTCTGATTGGTTGTAAGATGTTAACAAATGAAGCTTTGAAGCTAGTGATTGGCTGACAGTTAATAACAATGTTTGAGGACTTTGATTGTTTACAAATGGGATCAAGGCTCAGGTCTTTATAGATGTTAATTAATGAAGCTTTGAGGCCTGTGATTGGTTGACAGATGTTAACCAGAGCTCCTGATTGGTTCCTGTGCAGGTGGAGGAGCTGTCAGGGCAGAGGCTCCTCCCCGAGGAGGAGGTGCAGAGCGTGGAGTTCATGAAGCAGATGGAGGGGCTGGGGTCCCTGCCTGCTGCCCGCTCTGCAGAAACACCTTCACACAGGTACACATACTGCACATGGTGCCTTTACTTACATTACACAACATAGTTACAAGACAAGCCATGTGTAAACAAACACACGTGTAAACAAACAAAGACGTGTAAACAAACAAACAACAGACTAACATAAATATGACTAATTTGAGTGTTTTTCAAAATCAAAGCCCCATGCAGTTACTGTTTCCTTACAAGACGCTCTACCCCTAACCCTTTGTCTTTAAATTACATCCAGATGTGTTTAGTGTGCATGTAATCATAGCTAGGTAACATCTGTGTGTCTCCCTCTCCTCCTCCCTCTCAGGGGGGTGCAGATGGTGCTCAGGGAGGGGGCTGATGGGGAGGAGGTTCTGCAGGAGCTGCTGTTACAGAGGCGGGAGGAAGAGAGGGGGGGGCTCTGGACGACCCTCAGGCTGGACTGGGTCAGGAACTGGGACCAGAGCTGCAGGACGGCTGTGCTGCTGTCCAGACTGCCTCCCACAGGTACAGGGTTACTGGATACATGCAACTAATGAACTGTATTTAACGTATTCATTAAAGAATAACACAGCAAATGGAATTCCACAGATCAATTCAATTTAATTAATAGTATTACATTTATGTAATTGATAAAATGACAGATTTCTTGTTTTCTGCATCAGAGGTGACTTCCTGTGACTCGGCGTTGTTGTGGCGTTACCTGACGTCCCTCCACGACCAGCGCCGGATCATCGACTGGATCCAGAACGAGGAAGTGAACCCAGAACTGGTGAACAATAACACAGCCTGTAGCCGCTTCCTGAGGGAGAAGATCCTCGACCTACTGGCCAGGTACTCTTTAAAGTAGAGGCACTACATACTGATATACACCTGAACATCAGCAGGAGAGGACTCTTTAAAGTAGAGGCACTACATACTGATATACACCTGAACATCAGCAGGAGAGGACTCTTTAAAGTAGAGACACTACATACTGATATACACCTGAACATCAGCAGGAGAGGACTCTTTAAAGTAGAGACACTACATACTGATATACACCTGAACATCAGCAGGAGAGGACTCTTTAAAGTAGAGGCACTACATATTGATATACACCTGAACATCAGCAAGAGAGGACTCTTTAAAGTAGAGACACTACATACTGATATACACCTGAACATCAGCAGGAGAGGACTCTTTAAAGTAGAGACACTACATACTGATATACACCTGAACATCAGCAGGAGAGGACTCTTTAAAGTAGAGACACTACGTACTGATATACACCTGAACATCAGCAGGAGAGGACTCTTTAAAGTAGAGACACTACATACTGATATACACCTGATCATCAGCAGGAGAGCACTCTTTAAAGTAGATACACTACATACTGATATACACCTGAACATCAGCAGGAGAGGACTCTTTAAAGTAGATACACTACATACTGATATACACCTGAACATCAGCAGAGAGGACTCTTTAAAGTAGAGACACTACATACTGATATACACCTGAACACCAGCAGGAGAGGACTCTTTAAAGTAGAGACACTACATACTGATATACACCTGAACACCAGCAGGAGAGGACTCTTTAAAGTAGAGACACTACATACTGATATACACCTGAACATCAGCAGGAGAGGACTCTTTAAAGTAGATACACTACATACTGATATACACCTGAACATCAGCAGGAGAGGACTCTTTAAAGTAGAGACACTACATACTGATATACACCTGAACACCAGCAGGAGAGGACTCTTTAAAGTAGAGACACTACATACTGATATACACCTGAACATCAGCAGGAGAGGACTCTTTAAAGTAGAGATATCACATACTGATATACACCTGAACATCAGCAAGAGAGGACTCTTTAAAGTAGAGACACTACATACTGATATACACCTGAACATCAGCAGGAGAGGACTCTTTAAAGTAGAGACACTACATACTGATATACACCTGAACATCAGCAAGAGAGGACTCTTTAAAGTAGAGACACTACATACTGATATACACCTGAACATCAGCAGGAGAGGACTCTTTAAAGTAGAGACACTACATACTGATATACACCTGAACATCAGCAGGAGAGGACTCTTTAAAGTAGAGACACTACATACCTGATATACACCTGAACATCAGCAAGAGAGGACTCTTTAAAGTAGAGACACTACATACTGATATACACCTGAACATCAGCAGGAGAGGACTCTTTAAAGTAGAGACACTACATACTGATATACACCTGAACATCAGCAAGAGAGGACTCTTTAAAGTAGAGACACTACATACTGATATACACCTGAACATCAGCAGGAGAGGACTCTTTAAAGTAGAGACCACTACATACTGATATACACCTGAGCATCAGCAGGAGAGGACTCTTTAAAGTAGAGACATTACATACTGATATACACCTGAACATCAGCAGGAGAGGACTCTTTAAAGTAGAGATACTACATACTGATATACACCTGCACATCAGCAGAGAGGACTCTTTAAAGTAGAGACACTACATACTGATATACACCTGAACATCAGCAGGAGAGGACTCTTTAAAAGTAGAGACACTACATAATGATATACACCTGAACATCAGCAGCAGAGGACTCCTTTAAAGAGAGACATACATACTGATATACACCTGAACATCAGCAAGAGAGGACTCTTTAAAGTAGAACACTACATGCTGATATACACCTGAACATCAGCAGGAGAGGACTCTTTAAAGTAGAGACACTGCATACTGATATACACCTGAACATCAGCAGAGAGGACTCTTTAAAGTAGAGACACTACATACTGATATACACCTGAACATCAGCAGAGAGGACTCTTTAAAGAAGAGACACTACATACTGATATACACCTGAGCATCAGCAGAGAGGACTTTTAAAGTAGACACCATACTGATATACACCTGAACATCAGCAAGAGACTCTTTAAAGTAGAGATACTACATACTGATATACACCTGAACATCATCAGGAGA